TGTAAGCATTTTTGATGGACTGAGCTGTTGGATTCCCCCTTTAGTCGCGAATACTTGTCTATCGTGTAAATGAGATTTAACATAACTACACAGTGAATCAGTAATTATAAATAATATACAAAGAACCTGGCAAGAAAGTTTGTCAAGCAAAATTTACAAAAATACTAAATAAATATAAGTGTGCAGTAAGGACTTTGAAATCATAACCAGCCTTAAAACCCTATGAAAATACAGAGGCTAGTGCTAAATCAAAAGAACATTAAAATTTACAGAATTTCCAACCATTTACAAGGTTGTTATGTCTGCTATTGCTGTTTTATATATACGTTAAAAAACTCATTAATAATTCACGAGGAAAATACAAAAGAAATGAATGTTTAATCAATGTTTGTAAATCGGATAAAGATTTGTCCTGATTTACATAAACTTTAGCTTTGATTTTCTCGGTTTAGACAATGTTTATTTTTAAAATTACTTCGCGAATGAACTCATAAGATGGGTCGTTTTTTAAGCACGTTAAAACATTCGCATCTGATCTTTATCTGATATACAAACTCTCGCCTTCGGCTCGAGTTTGTATATCAGACAAAGATCGGCTGCTCATGTTTTAACTATAGTACTTATATATTTGTGCTTCTGCTTCGTACATTTCTAGAATATATAAAAATCTTACCGGTGAATAAAAATATTCTTCTTGTTTGGAGAATCGAGCGGCCCAAAAAGGCAAAACCCTCAACGTTGTAAATCAACCAAATTAGGAGAAAAATATCAGGATTTTCACTGAGATTTTCAGCTCAAAAACAAGCGAAATCATAAAATATTTGTGCTGAAACCAGGGGGGTGAAGTACATCGTCGAAAACTTAGGATCGCGGTTGGGACAGTGGTCGCTGCCATGTTTTTGGCTTCACTTTTTTATGCCAAGCAAGTCCTCCGGTAATATAGTATAGCCCATGCAGTGCTCACGTACCACTCACTACCCCACGCTACCTCACTGATAAGTGATATTCACCTACAGTGTAACGGTACACAATGCTACAACTTCACCGCATCTCAAAAATGTAGATGATCAGCTTTTATAATGCTAGTCTCGTGAGTTCAATATTATATTGAAGGTTTTCTGGTATTCGCAGTGATTCGTTTTATACAATTACAACTGAAGGCTTATTCCATGATTGAGAAATGGTTGACTAATACATAACCAACTTCAAATATTGTGCAATAATGCGGGTTTTTACCTTTTCAGGTTTTTGGTCATCTTTTGCAGGAAGATTTTCTAAAAAAATATTAAAGAAGTTAAATAAAACAACTTTGACAATAAAACAATGCATCAAGCACGGAAATAACATAACTATTCAACAGAAAGTGAGTGCTAAGAAATGTCCATGTATACCATGGTTCACAAGAGACATTGCATAAAAATAGAAGAACACAAATAAATACAAAAATAAAATCAATTACACATATACATACATACATATTTAAAGAACCACCACAAATAAAAATATTAAACTGTACGTGCAAATTAAAAAAGAACGAGAATATATGTAAAGAAAAATATGGGACACACACATAACAAAAATGAAGATGAACGCACACAAAAAAGAAAGCGTATGATTTTTATTAATTTATTTTATATTTTATTTGTGTTTGATCTTTAATTTTATGTGATGTACCTCGTGAGCCACCTTATACATCGGCCAAGTGCATGTGCATTACCAAATAAACAAATACCGCATATAACAATGGCAATTACAACTAGACAAATGAAAACATTTTCCTCAACAGTTTCCTGTGCTGCTTATTTAATGTTGCGTGAGAACATTTAATTAAAAGCGTCTTATTAGGCTTGTTTCAAACGTCGCGCTTCTCATCTGCCGAACGCATTAGAAACAATAGATAATGAGGCATTTCAGCTGATTATCTATTGTTTTTAATGCGTTCGGCACATGAGAAGCGCGACGTTTGAAACAAGCCCTAGAATTATTATTATTATATTTATATTTATCCAGGATACATACGTCACCGAAGTGTTTTTCAGTGGGGTCCTGCATTATAAATTTCAACTTCAATACATATATATGTTACAAAATAACATGCAAATCTACAATAACATGCGTTAACATACTTATACTATATACAAAACGTTATGGAACTATGACCATGTTTACTATGTAATTATCGCCTACACAGCGAATCAATATTTATATTTGGTTTGGTGCAAACACAGTGCAGGTACCACTGACCAGTGATTGGTTTCAAGCAAAAAAATTTAAAAGCAACCCAGGTGAACTACAATATGCCTGCAGAGGTCACCTATTTGAACAACTCGTTCTCGGGATTTGTTCGTACTGTTTGTCCCCATCTTGTTGACAAGTTGTCAACGGCTTGCTAAACAACTTGTTACAAGATTGTGGATTTAACAGACTTATTACAAGCTGTTTCAACAACTCGTTATCGTCCTGTAATTTAACAATTTGTCAACAAGTTGAGAGCGACAATCTTGTAGCAACTTGACCAACTAACATCATTGTGACAACTACAAGGCTGTTGTGTGTTGACAAGATGCGAGACTTTTGTAGATGGATATTGAACTTGGCAAACAATGGCTAACAAGCTCCCCCCTCCCCTCACAAATCCTCTCCTGAAAAAGTAGTTTTGGTATGTTTGTATTTTTACATACACAGTGGACATGTATTTTTTATTATTGATCCTCCTTTAATTTACTATAATTTAACTATTTTAACATTACACATATACATGTCTAATAATATAAATCTTATTTATTGAGTTTTTTATGTCACAATTCTGTGAAAATCGTAAACATACCTTGCACCTCATCACTTTGTAAGTTAACTTTGTTGTTATCACCAATGATATATAAATTTAGATTCGTTGGATTTTGGTCAGCCGACATATCTGTATTCATCACAATCCAATTACGGATTCAGGTCTAATAAAAAACAAATGACTTTTTATTTTAATTATTTTCTAAAATAATTTTTATACCCGTCGCGTTTTAGGGGTGGGGTATTTTTGTTTGGAGTTTTGTTGGGCAAACAAGCCCGACGGAAGTGCCGTTATTAATGTTTTATTAAGAATGGATTTTGAACGCGAAATCGAAGCAAAAATCGACGAGAAAATTCGTATAGAATAACTGAGTAGCGAACAATCGGCTCACAAACACATTCTGAGAGGAAGGTTGTTTTACGCTTAGTAAAACTACACATACTGTATGTGAGTGTTGTTGCTCAATGTATATCCAGTAGTGTAGTGGGGGCGGGGGGGGGGGAGACTCTTTCCCAGTGTTGTAACGAGTTGAGTCATTGACTCGAACTCGAATGGCTATTTTCAGCGACTCGAGTCCAATACGAAAAATGACTCAACTCGAATCAACAGCCCGAAATGACTCGACTTGCTGATTTTTGCACTAAATGATTCGAGTCAATTCAGCTACAACTTGTACAGAATAAATTCACCAAAATTATTGTAATTGTATTGCGTGGGAAGAACAATGAGTCCTTCATGTGAACAATGAGAACTTCGAAACATCAGAATATATTTGGGGATTTGCATAGAATATATCCTTGACGGACATGCCTATAATACACTTCTGTTTTTAGAAACAACGCTAGTGCCACAGTTTTTAAAATGGAGTCTCAAAATTTTGTGTACTTATACTAATTTTGACCGGTTCTTTTCATTTTTGGTATTCAGTATGAAGTGCTATATCATTTTAAATTAACTTACACAGCGTGATTAATTCAAATCTATTCTTTGTTAATTCTGACTCCAGTTGCAAATATGCTAGTTGTATGTACGCACACTCGATCAGCAGACATGATGAGACATCTCATGTGGTCGTACTTATGATACTTAATATTGACTAGAACTGTGATATTGGTGTAGCCTAGCTGCCCAGATACTGTCATTAAATGACTAAAATAATTAGCTTAAAAGGCAAACTTGATTACTAATTTCAGACTACAAGCTAGGGTAGCGAACCATTACAGAAAGCGTGGGGTGGACTCGACTCGACTTAAACCAGTGACGCGGCTGACGCCGCTGACTCGACTCGATCAGAAACTGAAATGACTCGACTCGTGACTCGACCTGTAGGTGACTCGTTACAACACTGCTCTTTCCTTTCAATTCAGGGGGCTCAGCAGTATGATTGTTGCATAAGTACGGCCCCTAAATAGAATGTTTTTACAATTACAATTGCAATGACAATTATAACCAATACTCACAATACTAAAGAAAAGTAGAAGAAAATCAGGATTGTCTATAGTAATATTTTTAAAATTAACTACAGATGGTAGCATTTACAGCTTCAACAGGAAGGCTATTCCACAGGACGGTGCCTCTATAAGTAAAACTTTTCTTAAGTAACTCAGTCAAAGGTCTTGGGACAAAAAGCTTTGAATCAGAGTGATGCAAATTGTAGTTGTGTATTACATTAGTTGGTGTGAATTTGCTTGAAAGATGACTAGTCTGGCATAATTTATTAATTGCTTTATACATTCAGACCCCAAATTGCCGAGAACGTCTTTTCTCAAGGTTATCCCAGTTTAGCGAGTTTAAGATCTGAGCTGAACGAAAGTTGGCGTCGGACCCCGTAATAATCAATCCGTGCAGCTTTATTTTGTAATTTTTGAAGCTTGCATGCCAAGACCTTCCCTAAATTGCCCCAGACGCTACTGCAATTATCAAAATGTGGTTGGATCAACGACTTATAAATGATGACACGACAAGGACTGATAGTAGGAGATATGATTTTAACCGCCTGCATGAGAGTTCCAATTACCTTGGTTACCTTTTTGCAGTAATCAGTTTATATGTTCATCCCAAGATAAGAACTCGTCGAATTCAATGCCTAGGCTTTTATATGTTTTAACCCGCTTAATATTATGGTCATTAGCCGAAATTTCCGGTTGATCAGGTATGGTTGCTATAACCTGTGGCGTGTGGACTGTGGATATAAACATACATTTAGTTTTAAGAGCATTTAATTTTAAGAGCATGAGATTACAATCTGGTAGATCGTTAATATATATTAGATATAGGAGTGGTATCTGCCTCCCAACCCGTAACATCTGGTGTTCCTCAGGGATCGGTCCTTGGTCCGCTACTTTTTATTCTGTATCTTGCCCCTCTTGAAGACGTCATTACATCACATGGTCTTGACTTCATGATGTACGCTGACGACTCTGACCTTTACATTGCTGTCAATCCTTGTGGCAGACAGTCTGCCATCGCTAACCTCGAACATTGCATTTCTGATGTTCTGTCATTCTTTTCAGACAATAAACTCGTCTGTAACCCAACTAATACTGAAGTAATCCATCTCTACTCGTGGTTTTCTAATTTAATTTCACACCAATCCCTGGCATCAATAAAAGTCACCATCTCGTTCCCATCAGTGAGACCGTTTGCAGTCTTGGAGCTACAATTGATAAACATCTTACCATGTCTAAACACATCAACAAAATTTGTGGCTCCGCCTCTTTGGCTATTCGAAATATTGGCAGAGTCAGAAAATATCTTGATCAGCATGCAGTAGTACAGAACGCCTAGTCCACGCCTTTGTCACGTCAAGACTGGATTACTGGAACAGTCTTCTTTATGGATTACCGGCAAAGGAAATTAGCAAATTACAACGTTTACAGAATTCGGCAGCTAGACTGGTGACGAGATCCAAAATCAGGGAACATATTACACCTATACTACAAGAACTACATTGGCAGCCTGCCTGTGAAATACAGAATAACATTTAAACTCTTGCTAATTACTTTCCAGATAATAAATAACTGTGCATCAGGGTATTTAACCATATTATTAGAGAGTCTTACAATCCTAGTCGCACTTTACGTTCAGCGTCACAAAATCAGTTAGTTGTACCTAAAACAGGGCCATTTCCATCGCAGCCCCAAAACTATGGAACAGTCTGCCAGTTAATTTAAGAGAATCCAACTCCATCAACTTGTTCAAATCTAAAGTTAAGACACACCTCCGTTCTAGAGGCATTTTTATAGACCCTTATACTTCATATTTCAATTGCTGTAAACATATATAACTTTTTATTTAGATTGTATGGTCGTTTTAAATTGTAAACGCATTGAGGCTCTGCAAAATGTGTACTAAATGCTGTAATTATTGTGTAGTTAAATATTCTTACATTTGGTCGAAGATTAATTTCTCAAAGATTTTCGAAATTACAGGTAAGACAGATATTGGTCTGTAGTTGTTAGGATTAATTTTACAATCCTCCTTATTAACAGGAGTGACTCTTGCTGTCTTGCAGTTTTCCAATCATTTGGCACAGTGGGATTACGAATAGCTAAATTGATGATATAAGTCAGTGATTCAATTGTCGTAGCTGTACTCAACTTCAAGAAAAAAAGTGGAATTTTATCAAGACTACAGTACTAGCTTTACGCGTAAATAGCTTCTCAACTAATTTTAGAATGTCATACTGTATTTATTTCACTGAACTCAAAATGGCTTGATGAGCGTGATGATCGAGATGCAATCGTAATCAATATTTTCATTTTGAGAATCAATCTCAGCTGCTAATTTAGTTCCTATGCTTGTGAAGTGAGTATTGAATGCATTACTCATGAGCACCATCAGAACTTTGTAGCTCGAATCTGTTTCTTGTTTTAGAAAGTAAACTATTAATACCTTTCCAAGTATTCTTTATATAGCCCTTATTGAAGAAAGAGCTATAATACATTAATAGTTGCTTTTTGTGGTTCTTGCATGATTTGTAATTCACTAGTGATTTTTAATTTTTTGTAATTATTCCAAGCTATTTCATCATTAGTTATTACTGCAATTCGTATCAATCTATCCCTTTCCCACATTAATTGTTTAAAGGGAAATGGCAATATATTTTTTATTTTCTCGTTTGAAAGAACATTTAAAACCATATATAAAAGTCTTTTACCGTTTTTTCGTATCTTGCTTACTTCTACAAATATTTTAATCGAAAGAAATTAAATGTCCGCCATCTTGGATTTTGGTAGATATGACGGGTATTGCATGTGTATATACGTTAGGTGTCTGAAGATCAAATTTCGCGCGTCTAGAGTTAAAATTTGGCTTCAACTTTCGAATTTTCCGGCTGGAGGTAACGTTCCTATTATATTCCGATTTCAATAATTCGTAAATGCGTGATTAATAGTGCTCCAAGACGTGAAACAGATTTTAAGAAATGCCGAGACGTGCCGACCTAGGTCAGATTTAGGTCGGCCCTTTTTTACGATCTCAATTTTGACGGTTTTCGAGGGCTTCAAAATGGATGCCGACAAAGGAAAAAGGTTCCTTCGCGCGAGAAAATTCGCTAGTGGAAAACCGGCTTAATAGAGTGTAATAAAGCGCTTTAGGGCCGGACCATTTAATTTTTGAGAGGGGGGGGGGTTGGAAGATTTCGAAAAAAATTTCCTGCAATCCAAGGAGAAAGAAAAAAATATCATGCAGCATATAATCGAGAAAAAAATATCATGCAAAAGAGAGCGCTCAACGTTCTTCACTTCAGTACTGTGTCCACAGGCTTGCAAAATTTTTGCATTTTTGAACAGGCACATTCGCTTAGAAGAACACGGGGTGAACAGTGGACAGCATCACAGGGATTCTACCGTGGCGTTCTCTGGCAAAATTGTTGCCCCCCGCCTCAAGAGAAAGGGTCTTAGTTTAAGATATGTACAAGTTTATAAGTTATTTATACATATCTAATATGCATGGTAGAAAAAGTATTTTTGGATGGCGTTTTTGATAGCATAGCAATCAGTTTCAAAAGTCTTGGGACAGATGCCACAAAACCTTTGAATTTCAACAAACGTCAATTCCCCCCGCCCCCTGTTCAATGTTGTGTCCCATTTCTCGTCAGGTTTGATGTGTTTTGGTTGGAGCAACATTGATTGGGGTGGGGGAGGGGGAGGGGAGCGGATTGTGTGTAAAAAACTGTAGTGATCCACTTACAATCTAAAACTACATGTGTCCCAACAACTTCTGAAAGTGATTGTAGCTCCAAACTACAAGTTGAACGTATTGCATATACGATGATTTTAATGCGAAAATGCCAGTTTCGAGAGTATAGATTTTAAAAAATTTCTGAAAATGATGCAACCCGATCCCCAACAAGCTATCTGTATGAACGATTGAAAAGCTACAGAGCTATATTTGCATGGTGGAACATTGTTGTTACGGAGGGCAGTTAAAAATCGCATTATTGAAATCCTGTTTTATTACGTTTTAATCAAAATATTCTTAATTTTCCCTTGTTTAAAATAAGGACAGTAAGTGTTCCTTAGGCTTAGTACAGCAAAGTTGTTGGACGAATCCATGGCTGAAAACGCAGGAAATAGCATTTCCGAGGTTCAAATTTTAAAATTTTCTCGGGGGAGCATGCCCCCGAACCCCCCAAGGTTACAGGTAATTCATATACTGTACCTCCCCAATTTTCGAGTACTCTACTCTATCCCTGCATGTTTTAATTAGGTTTTGGTGCAGTTACACATTTTTTGTAAGTAAACCTGCACGCTTTAGTGTGGGGAACATTAAGACATAACCATATTAAATAAAGCAGAGTGAAAATTCCTTGGCCCCTCTTGGAAATCAATTCTCGACCTCCTCTGACTGAAAACCCCGGGTACGTCTCTGATGATAGCTATATGAAAGGGCAAAAAAGTATCCTGCCGCGAAATATATTGGGAAAAAATATCTGCATTTTACGGGAAAAAATATATGTCTTGTTAATTCCCCTGGGCGGAAAAAAATTCTTGCACAGTCTGAATCTTCCAACCCCCCCTAAAAAATCAAATGGTCCGCCCCTTAAACATACAGATTTACTATAGGCTAATGACTCGGCAACATTACCAAACAACAGTTGGCAAAAGATCACTCACACCCCCCCCCCACTCGAAGAGGGTTAGCGCCGCCCCTGTGCATGTCCTTGGAAATATATCAAGATCACTTAAAACCTTCAAAACATCTACCAATCAATATTTGTTCAACGACGTATACTTTTATATGGTTAATCCCTATTGTGAACCAAAACAACCATTAATGAGATCAAAAAATTATCCAAGATGGCGGACATCTCATTACTTCAAGTGAAAATATTTCAAGAACTAAGCAAGATATGAAGAATCGGTAAAGGAAGTTATTAAATAGTTTCAAAAGTTCTTTTAAATGAGAAAATAAAAATTTATATTGCCATTTTCCTTTAACTTCACTTGATAGGCTGATAGCCAAGGTACGCTAATTTGGCACACTCTTTTTTTTAATTGGTGCATGTAGTTCTGCAATTTGTAAAAATAGGTTTTTCCAAAGATCCTAAGCTTGGTCAGTAGCTGACTTTATTCTATGCCAGGTGCAAGATCGATATCTCTTTTAAAGTTATTCGAAATGAAATGTTTGAATTAAATAGCGAGCCTGGATAAGGGACCGCGATAAGGATAGCGAGACTGGAACGAAATTCGACATATAAAACAGGCCTTAGCCGAATTGTTAGTAATTCTAGTTGGCTCTTGAATTAGCTGTTTCCATATTAAGCGATTCGATTTTATCCAAAATAATTTGGAAATTTTCAAAATTTCCAGAGAGTAATTGAGGCCGGGTCTATAATATACCATGTCGAAACAAGAAATAGTTTATTTTAGGTTTAGCAATTTCAATACACAGAAATTCAAGGGTCTCATCTTGTAAGTCATGTCTTATTATGTAGTTTACGATGTTCCTATATAAGGGTAAAGACCTACCTAAAATGATCATGTTTCTAAAGTTCTATTGTCATTCATTGTTATAATCAACCAATCACAAGCCTGATAGTATAGGTAGATGATGACCCCCCTATAATGTATAATAATTGTATACCACCTGTAATATTAATTGTATAGTTTATCAATTTTAATTTCAGAATATTCAATGGTGTTATGATAAAGCAAAATCAACCTGTCATGTGGAATCGTGAAGCAAATTAGTACTACCTGTTAGTACTACCTTATTAGTACTACCTAAGATGTGGGCACAGATTCCCACTGCTCAGATATTACACTTTGACTACAGTCACTTCGTTTTTCTTGATCGTTCAATATATATATGTATAATGAAGTTGTGCAATTTGGTATGTGTTTTGATAAACAGATCGCATGCATATTATATATCTTATAACACGCAATCAGTATTCCACTGAGACAATGTCACTTGATCAGCAAATGCGTCTTAGAACATATTATCATGTCATATCACTTGAATGTTGATTATGTAAATCTATGTTGGGTTTTACTTGACTATCACCGCAAACAATAAGCTTGCAAAATCTGAAAAGTTTATTTTAAAATAACAAAACAAATGCACTATTCGCGTTTATTTGAAGACGCGTTATTATCATAAAACTCGCAGTTTTAATTTAATTATTGTACACATGTTCGTTTTAACATAAC